TCGCCACGAGATGGATGCTTAACCCTTTCGGGACTGCCTGCAACGCTTCTTTATTTCTGGGACTTGACGGGCGGGGTGCACAAATATCAGGTGGGGCACCGAAACGAGCCAGGGGGGAAGATTGGTTCACATTGGTGGCTACGTCCCACTTCGGCCAAGGCAGCGATCCTAAGCACATGCTTGACTTGCATACAAGCCCCAGGAAACTGAAGGGGGCTTGCTCGCTGCTGAGCAAGCAGGCTTGGTGTAGGGTTTTTTAGTCTACACATCTCTTCTCTGCTCCCCCCACCATGATATTGAGTGAGATCTGCTCCCAGGTCCATTGATTTCAGTGTGCGTGGTATGGGAAACACCCCCCCCAATAACTTTTTCAGCCCCTTTTGTCTACAGTGCAGTCCTAAGCAGCTTCACTCAAAAGCAAACCCCACAGACTAGACCCATAGATGGGCGTCTGGATTAGACCCATAGAAACCAGACCTCAAATGAGTCTCACTTCCAAGTGTAGGGTTTCAACCCCCAGTTTCTGTTTCTCTCACCCCTGGAGTCCTCACACTTAACTTTTCCGTCCATCACTCTCCATCCCTGAAATCCACCCTTAGTTATCTATTTAATAAAATTTGTATACTCTTTGGCTGTAGAAAAAACAACAACCCTCAAAGCAGTTTACAAAAAAAGATCAAACAATAAAATTGTCACTGAAATGTATCATTATTCTTCACCCCACCCATCACTCCTCCTCTACCCTGTAAGCTTTACCCAGCTTTCATATTGCTCTCTGTCTGGCCTGCATTTCCCTCCCACCCAGGGCCGGCCCACACATGAGGCAAGGTGAGGCGAATGCCTCAGGCGGCAGGATCCACAGGGCAGCAGATCTGACCTCCAAGGAATGCATCACACACTGCTGCTGCCAATCCATGCACTCCTCAGAGGTCAGATCCACCTCCTCCTCAGCAGCCCCATCACCACCAATGCCGCCTCTACAGCAGCCTCTTGGGGAATAGGAGGCAGTCCTGGTCTTCTCCCACCCTTGTTCCCTTCTGGCTGGGGAGGGCACCATTTTGTGGTTTGCCTCAAGTGCCATAAAGCATTGGACCAGCCCTGCTCCCACCCCTCTCTCAAATGCATTCCCTGAGACGGGGTGGGGTGGAGGTCCCCTATTGCCCTATCCTACCTCACAGGGCTCTTGTGAGGATAAGCACAAGAGGTTATCTTTACAATCAAACAGCCTGCGAATTTCACAAAGCAAATACATGAAACAAATAATAATAGTCTATGGCCTTTTAAACGAGATGGGGGGAGGGTATTGTTTTTGTTTATTCCTATGTTACGTATTTTTGCGTCTTTATATTGTAAACTGCCTTGTGATCCTTCAGGGAAGGGCGGTGTAGAAATTTTCATACCAATAATCATCTTAATAATCAGGGGTTGTTGTTTTTCCCCAGCCGGAACTTGCCGGAATTCAGTTCTGGCACCCCTCAGGTGGGCACGTTGCCATTATAAGAGAGCAACGGAGGTGTTCATGGTGAGTTCTGGTACCCCTTTTAATGGAAAAATAGCACAAATGATAATAAACAAGCCTGGGAGACAAAACAGCCACCATGCCAGGCTTCCCTGGGGAGGGGAAAGGAAGGCAGGATTTTGTGCTTGGAAATGGTCCTAGTTGCCTCCTCTGAGAACCAGTCCCTGCTCCTGTGAGAGCTTTGGTCTTCTTTCTGTCAAGAAGACTGAGAGAGAACTTGTTTCTACCAAGAACTGAGAAACTGAGAAACCTGCTCCCAGAAGGGGCCTCGGAAAGCCGGCCCACCCATGAGACAAGCTGACACAACTGCCTCAGGCAGACAAGGCCAGAGGAATCCTACTCCATGAGGGGAGGAAAAACTTCCTTCAAATGTGTCCTGAATTGGGAAACAGCATGTAATATAATTAATAATAATAATAATGGCTTAAAATATAGGACTATGTAACACGGAAATGTCTCTCTTTTCCTGAGGAGAGGAAAAACTTCCTTCAAATGTGTCCTGAACTGGGAGACAGTATGTCAGTTATGACTAATAATAATAATAATAATAATGGTGGCTAATAAATATAGTATATAAAATAAAAGCCTGTTTCCCCCTCTCATGAGAGAAGTGCTTCCTTCAGATGTGTCCTAAATAGAAGCAGCATGTATGTGTCTCTTATAATTATTACAGATGCACACAGCAGCAGCTAATAAATAGGAATATATAAAATAGAAAAACTATCTTCCCCCTCATGAGGGGAGTAACGCTTCCTTTAATCATGTATTGAACTGGGAGACAGCATGTATGCGTGTCTGGTGTGGTTATTATTACAGACACACACATTAATAAAAATGTTAATATAGAAATATTTATACTTTGCTTTTCCCCAAGGGAAGCTTCCTTAAATGCGTCCTAAATAGGGAGGCAGTGTATATATAACGAAAATATGTTTAAAAACAAAACAAAAAACCTAAAATGAAACAATTTGTGCGGGATGGCATTACATTCGCCGCATACTGTTTACACATCTGTTGTTCTGAATAACAATGACTAAGATAGAGAACCAGAAATCTTAATTTTAAAAATCTTAAAATGCGATGATTTGTGAGGGGTGACTTTACATTCGCCGCATACTATGTACATATCTGTTGTTCTGAATAAAAATAGCAGGCGCAGGGAAACCTGCGAAGGGGGTGGCTTTACATTCGCCACATACTTTATATATACTTTCACTGTTTCTTATTTCTCGGCCGCCTGCTCTCCCCACAGGCGCTGAGAGGCGGGCATAGAAGCTCCTCGCCTGACGGAGTCTGGCGGGCGAGAGGGAGAAGAAAGAGACGCCCGCTTTCCCGCCGCTAAAACCTCCCGCAACGCTCCGCCCACCGCCCTCGAGCGCCGCCTTCCCGCTCGGCGATTGGCCAAGGAGGCGCGTGAGGGGAGGAGCCCGGAGCCCGGAGTGTGTCCTCCGCCACCGCCCCGCCCCGAAGGCCGCGCGCTTTCCCCCCCTTTTCTTTTTTTCAAACCCGTCTGCCTAACGACTGGGCGCGCGCGCGCTCAGCTTCCCCCGCCTCCCTGCCCGCTTCGATTGATTGGTTTGAACCCGGCGTTCTCCCCCCCCCCCTTCGCCCTTTCTGGCTCCGTCGCGCGCCCCCTGCAGGGCATTGCGGGGAAGCGCCTCTGCAGCAGCCAGCAGCAGGAGCGAAAGGGACGGCGCCGCCGCCAGAGAGAGCGTTTGCGAGCGGGGAGGCACGCCCTGGATCGGGGGCGGGGGGGGGAGAATAGAAATACTAGCCGTGGGAGGAGGAGGAGGAGACTGCAGCGGTCCTCCAGGCTGCAGGTTTCCTGCCTTTGTGTCTGGCAGGTCCTTGCTGCCGCCGTTAAATTTTTGCAGCAAGCAAGAGAAGGGGAGGCGTGGGATGCGGGCGGGGGTGGATTTGACAAAAGCCAGGAAGCCGTGCAAGGGGGGGGGGGGGAGGAAGCTTTTGCAAATACCTCCCCACCGCCCTCCTCGTCGCTTTAAGGCGCTGCTGTTGTCTGCCCGGGCTTGGCTTAGTTTGTTTCGCTGAACGTGCTTTTGCTTGCACACACCAGGGCTCTTTAAAAAATAATAATTTAGTTTTAAATACCTCGGCAAGCTACGTATTGTGGCAAACTCATTCAGCAGTGCCGATCAGGTCCCGTGCCATTCCTCTTCATTTGTGCGTGTCTCGCTCCGTGTGTACTGTATTATTAATGGACGGCATTAAGAGGATCGGGCCAAGTGTTTTGAGAGGCGTTTAAATCAAAGGAGTGCAGGCACGCTTTCTGCACGCAGTTGCCCGTGAAGCTTGCAGAATAGATGGTACCAGCGCTCCCTGGGGATGTCGCCTGTTTTTGCCTCGCCATCACTCCGGGCCCACTTTTTCTTTTCAATGCACCAACCTGGTGCCTCGTGCCTGCGACCATCGCCCTTTTTACAGTTTCTTACACCTACACTAAAAAAAAACACACAAAAAAAAACCACTTCCACCGTCTTATATTTGGCACTGCAATTTGTTTCATTGCACCGACTGTTATCTTTCGCCAAGAAGAGAGCCAAATATTCCAACAGGGCTCCCGCATCCTTAATCTTCATTTCATTCATTCCTTTGAAACACTTTTGAGTTGCTCTCCTACCTGCGTTTCCAAAGCAAGGTACAATGGTAATACATAATAATAACAGCATCCCTGCATGTCATTAAACTAATTCAACAAACATGAAATAATAAGAACAAATGGCAGGACATCAAAAGCTGTTAAAATCCCAAACCACCTACACAAACACTTTCACAGCCGAGCAGTCCATTAAAGGTCATGGCAAAACATAGGGAAGCTTCAGCTGGTGCCAATGTGTCAATAGGGAAGAATACAGGATTGGTTTGAGGACCTTATTTCAAAGATGAAGTGCCCGGCCCCAGAGTGGCCATTTATTTATTTAAATTAAATATCAAAACATACAAAAAGATAAAAGGAAGTAACCATTTCAGTGCAGAGTTGAAACAGACTCTAGCTAGGTACATAATATAATATAGGTACATAATATAGGTACATAATAAAGAAATGATGAGGGTGGGGTGTTACTTTTAATCTGCACCAAGATAGCCCTGCACAAATTATAATGAGATGCACAAATGTAGGATCCTGTGAAAAGGATCTAGGGATCATAGTAGACCACAAGCTTAACATGAGTCAACAGGATGATAAAGCAGCAAAAAAGAAGAAGAAGAAGAAGCTCATGCTATTCTAGGCTGCGTCCACAGAATTATAGTGTCCAGATCAAAAGAAGTAATAGCACTGCTCTATTCTGCCTTGGTCAGACCACACCTGGAATACCGTGTACAGTTCTGGTCACCACAATTCAAAAACATGTTGACAAGCTGGAATGTGTGCTGAGGAGGGCAACCGAGATGATGGGGGGGGCACATGCCAGTGATTAGCAGGGTCAGAGGCAAAAGAGAGCTATAGCTGCTGTAAGCTATGGGAAGGGTTGCAGCTGAGTGGTAAAGCACATGCTTTTCATGCAGAAGGTCTTGGGTTCAGTCTCCAGCATCTCCTCCAGGTAAGGCTGGAAGAGATCTGAAATATACTCGGAGTCGAGTGTGAATTTCATGTTCTTTATTCAGCTCATAGTAGCAATGAATGAAACTTTCCCCAAAACGTCTAACTATATATACATTATTTACACAATGGGCCCCGCGTGATTGGCTAATTCCGAGCTGCTCCTGTAGGCCAATCAGGTTGCGGATTCACCTCCTCCAGAAGCCTGATTGGCTGCTCCTGCAGGCCAATCAGGTTGCTGATTCACTTCATCCAGGAGCCTGATTGGCTGCTCATGCAGGCCAATCAGGTCGCTGATTCACTTCCACCTGGAGCTGGATTGGGTGGCTCCTGCGGACCAATCAGACTACTGCATTCTGGATACTATTGTTCTAGGATTCAGCTCAGTACATAACAAGATCCTTTCCCTGAAACCCTGGGAAGCCATTGCCAGTCAATGTGGGTGGATTATGAACTAGATGGGCCAATCGTCTGGCTCAGCATAAGGCTTGTGATCAGATGGGAGCGCGAGGACTGCATTAAATCAAGCACTGTTCAAAGTGAGGGGCTTCTCTGAGCCCCTTAGTTCAAGCTCTGATTTAAGAGCAGGCTTTGCATGTGCATGGGATTTTTACAGGTTGCCATGTAATCCACCTGCCAATCACGTGATGCCATGCGGCTGACATGGGATTTCCCTGCATCTGCTAAAATTTGGCTCGGGGTGGGGCCTGGTCTTACTATGTTTGTATAGTAAGCTGCATTCCAGCCACGCAGAAATCAGGGGTTGCTAAATACACACACAAACAGCTTCTCTCCCCAGGCAAGCAAGAAGCATCATCACAACGGGACACACTCTAGCTAGGCAAAAGCACTTGAGGAGAGGCTGGAGCAGAGGCAATGCTTGCTTGCGGAGAGGGCGTGTGGCCTAGGATGGGTCTTGAGGACCAGGGAGAGAGTCCTAAAGAACCACATTTGGACCCTTGGGCTTGAGGCTCCCATGGCCCAGAATCCTTTGCAACATGGTAAGTTTCTGTGGCTGACACAATCAGTTTGTAAATGTGTTCGCTGAAATAGATTCCCTAGGAAATGGGCAAAACATTGGCAAAAACATTTTTGCTGAGTTCTAGCAAAACGTTTCACTTGATTTCTAAGGATAGTTACCAGGGCGGTGTCTGTGTGTGGATGTAATCTGCTTTCCTATCACAATACAGATATGCAAAATATATTGTGTTCTGTACTTTACACTCTTCCCTAACTATCTATCTTGGAAAGAACCCAAATCGAGCCGAGTGGTACAGAGTGCTGATCCCCAGAGAGAGCTTGAATTTACAGCGTCTGCTGCACAATTACCAATAGTTAATTCACAGCAGCAGAGAAGAGTTACCTTGATCATAGGGTTTTTGAGGTGCAGGCAATATTTAATTTACCTTCGCTGGAAAGGCAAAGCACCCTTAATTGGGTTTTTAATTACTACTAACAAAGAGTAGAGCAAGCAAAAAATAAAATAAAAAATCTCCTAGCAAACTAGTTTTCCATTCTCAAGGTCAATTGGGAGTGTAGTAAGGACTATTTGGGTGCTCACTTCTGGACATATGTCAATTTAGTCCCTACACTAGTAAGGGGAAGAAAGGTGCATTTAAAGTCATCCCAAAATTTGTATACAATGAAAAGTTGTATAACTCCCATCAGCCTCAGCAAACATGCACTTGGACTTAATTCTGGGTCAGAATAAATAGGATTTGGCTAAACAGTGGTATCTCGGGTTAAGTACTTAATTCATTCCGGAGGTCCGTACTTAACCTGAAACTGTTCTTAACCTGAAGCACCACTTTAGCTAATGGGGCCTCCCACTGCCGCCGCACTGCTGGAGCACGATTTCTGTTCTCAGCCTGAAGCAAAGTTCTTAACCTGAAGCACTATTTCTGGGTTAGCGGAGTCTGAAGCGTATGTAACCTGAAGCGTATGTAACCCGAGGGACCACTGTAATGAAATCTGGTGGTGGTGGTGTGGTGCAGTGGTTAGAGAAAATTTGAGGAACCTGAAGACCTCCGGTTTCTCTTGGGCTTCAACTCCCATCAGCCGCAGCCAGGAAGGGGCAGTGGTTGGGGATGATGAGAGTTAGGAGTGCAATAGCAGCTGGAATGCCTCAGGTTCCCCACTCCAGGGTTAGAGTGCTAGACTAGGAAAATCTGGATTCTAACCTGCTGCTTGCTCTTGGAGCACACAAGGTGATCTTGAGCCACCTCTCTTTCTCTCTCTCTCTCTCTCTCCTCTCTCTCCCCTTAACAGATCTCACAAGGTTGTGTGGAGGTAGATAGGGTGAGGAGAAATGTATGTCAACCCTGTTTTCTCATTGGAAAGTCAAGATCCAAATGAAATACAAACCAGAACTGAGCTGAAACTTCTCAGAAGAATTCCACCCCCCTGATAATTTTCTTTTTCGAACCTTGGGTTGGGGAGGCAGATCTTGCAGAATACTCTCCAAATGTTCACTATTGTGTGTGTGTGAGAGAGAGAGAGAGAGGGGGGGTGGGGGGACCACCAATGCTTGCTTACAATGCCCCTTAATGATGGCCAGGCTGCCAACAAAAGTGGTTCTGGCCACCACCAAAAACCTTAAGCAAAAAAGCCATCCTGCTGTCATGGGCAGTTCTGACCTTAAGAAACTGTTAAGAGATTTTTCTCTTTCCCCTGAAGGATATTGTGTGAAACCCAAGACTCCCCAGTTGCTAGACAATAGCATTTTCACTCAAGAGTTGTACAGCCCAATCAGAATCAATTTGACCCAGAAGTCTGTGCCGTTGATTTTTCAATGGGAAATGCTTCCCAGTAAGTGTGCTTAGGTTCAATATCTAAATTTCAAAAATCACTGAGCATAGGTTTCGATGCAAAGACGCAGATCCAAGGAGCTATTTTAGATAAGTCCAAAGATTTGCTGGCAACCCAGTTTCCCGCCCTTTTCATTCCTTCAAACAGCAGACATCCATGTCAAATTGCAAACTGCATTTGAAACTTTTCTAGGTTTCAAAAATAGCTTGCTTTGTGGAGTGGAGAGCTGCCATTCCAAATTTCCTTTGGGTATGCAGAAATAGTGGAAAAGTTCTTTAGATCCCGGCCATATATGGAGAGGAGTCAAGAGCACTAAACCAGTAGCATTGTAGGACTATATGTATATGTATATGTATATATGTGTGTGTGTATGACTGATAAACATTTCATTCATTTTATTTATTTATTATTACATGTATAGCCCACATTTTCTCCAAGAAGCTCAAAATGGTGTCCATGGTTCTCCCCTCTCCATTTCATTCTCACAACAACCTTGTGAGGTAGGTTAAGGTGAGAGACAGTGGCTGACCAAAATTACTGAGTGATCTTATGGCCGAGTGAGGATTTGAACCCTGGTCTCACCCATGTCCTAGTCTGACACTCTAACCATTACACCACACTGACTCTTTCTGTTTTGATTAACTTTAGGTAGAAAGGCAAAATCTAACAGAGAACTGATGCTAAAAGCAGTTAACTGCATAAAAAAACCCAGAAGTTACTCTTGACACTGAAGTGCTTATGCGTTTTTAAATAGAAAGTCAATGAGCATAGATTCCAGCAGGAAATATGCCTAAAACAGGGTACGAATGTCTAGGCACAGTTCTGGAGCTTGTATTTTCCCTTCATATCCCAAATATTACCTAAATACTACTGTTTATTATATTTTACCATTCACAAGCAGACTTTTGTACTCCAGATCTATGACAATATTCTTGTCTGGAACAACAAGGCAAGAAATTGTGTGAAAGGTTATTACAGTACCATGAAGACAAAGGTCTAAAGAGCTAGTCAAACACCCCAATGTGAGTGGAAGTAGCAAAGAGAAGAAAAAGTTCTCGCTAGAGGGATACAGGATGAGCTAGAGGTCAAAGTGCAGGGCTGCATACACACTGACCATTTCTAGCACGAAAACGAAGTTTCTATCAATCCAGAGAAGTTCATCCTCCTCCAGAACATGCTGTTTTCAATCTAGATTGATTGTGGTTACTTGATGGGCATTTGAAAACCCTCCCCTTGATTTGCTCCATGGTTTGTTCTCCCTGCACATGCCATAATAATAATAATAATAATTATTATTATTATTATTTATTTATTTATTTATACCCCGCCCATCTGGCTGGGCTTCCCCAGCCACTCTGGGCGGCTTCCAACAAAATATTAAAATACAGTAATACATCAAACATTAAAAGCGTCCCTAAACAGGGCTGCCTTCAGATGTCTTCTAAAAGTCTGGTAGTTATTGTTGTTGTTCTCTTTGACATCTGGTGGGAGGGTGTTCCACAGGGCGGGTGCCACTATTGAGAAGGCCCTCTGCCTAGTTCCCTGTAACTTGGCTTCTCGCAGTGAGGGAACCGCCAGAAGGCCCTCAGCGCTGGACCTCAGTGTCTGGGTAGAACGATGGGGGTGGAGACGCTCCTTCAGATATACTGCCACAGGTGAATGAAGGACGAAGTGGCGATTGTGATCTCGATATACGCCTATCTACAACTTCATTGGGCGGGGGTGGGCACACTCCCTAACCCAACCTGGCTCCATCATGGGTCAACCACCCCATTCCCTGACAGTCCGTGTGGTCAATCCCCTGCTCACCAAATGCTATTTTGCCTTACAGGCCAGCAGTCATGGTCCCAGAGCCCAGCAGCAGTAGAGATGCAGTGTTTGAGGGGTGGGGCTTGGGAGATGTGGGGTAGAAGAAGAGGCTCAAAAGCCCTCCCCGCCCCCAGCCACATTTGGGTTTTGTTGAGAGCAAGCTGCTCACTTGGTGGTCTCTATAGTGCTTCCAGGCATGCTTTTCTCTCATTTTATTCTCTGTTGTCCATTGTAAAGGCCTTTGGCTATATAAATTGGCCTTCCATTGCCCCTCCCACCTGCCATTCCACTTCTCAGCAGAGACAGCTGCTGGAAAAGAATCTTAAACGACGGGGTTTAGAATTGTGCCTGCAGAAAAATTTACGTTCAATATAAAATTGGTC